GGCATGTGCGAAGCAACATTGAAAATATTCTTCCAAAATCTGCTGTACAGGCTTCCACAGATGATGAAGAAGAACCCTCAGCCAAAAAAGGCGTTATTGCAGTCTTTGCACGTCTAAAAAGAAAAGAATGTCAAAGATGACCTGTGCCAAATGCAAAAAGACAGTTTGTGGTGAACACAAGAAAGACGTTTGTCATGACTGTCTCTAAAGAAATTTTTTATAATATTATAGTTTTTTTTACACTGATTATATTATAGTCTACTAGTTTGTAAGGATAAAACACTATTTTTTGTGATATTTTACGGGATTTGTTCCCATAAACCGAAGACTATTGATTTTTGTTAATTTTTCATAGAGGTCTAGTGATTTAAGTTTAAAATTACTTAAAATATAAAAAAATATAATATAAATGCATTTTATTTTTACAATAATGCCAAACCTTTAAAATGACTAGATTAACTTAAATAAATATCCATTGTTAGTATAAAATTGACGCGCCTTAGAAAAGCATGCGCCTCTGAAGCGTATGGTTATCTTTTACGTACGTTGTCATATGGTTATCTTTCTAGGGTTAAACAGTATTTTTCGGACGCATCAAATTCCGTTTTGTTTGTATGTCAAGGGGTTGAACGGGGTTTCGACGCTGACCGCGGACTCGAAAAGAAGGAAATAAGTTGCAAGAGTACTCACGGTTGGTTGATGGGCCGAGACAGCGATCTTCCGGAGGAAATCCTTTTAAGCAACGTGTTGCGGACACTCGACACTCAAGCTCGCTGGAAGAGGGTCAACGTATCGTCGAGAGTTCAAGAACACCGTGTTCAGGACGCTGCCAGACGGCGGCGTTTTCCCTCGCTAAAATGACAACGCGGTTTCAATTGAAAGCAATCCGACCGAGTTGGCAAGCGACTCTTCCTCGCGAGGCCGGCCGTCCTTTTAATCGCGTTTATGCCTGCACTACCTCCGTGCACTACCACCACCATGATCTCACTGGCCCTTTCCACACCCTTCCCCGGGGATCGACAATGCCAATAATCCAGGGTCCCTGAATACCCGGAAAACCTTCGAAAGTCACGCGGCTGCTCGCCGAGCCTCGAGCAACCCTTAGGAGCGGGGATTCAAGGGGATGGATCCCGAAATCGACGAAGAATGTTTTAATGCCGGAGGATTGAACCGTCGGATCACCCTCGGAATTTTAATTTCGTCGAATCAACGGAGACGATTGTATCGAAACACTGAGAAATGATGTGATTGTACCACCCTTAGAATTGTTATTGCATTCGATTGGCGATAAAATATTCACTCGATGAAAAATTTTCTCGGGAGACCGTTGACGGACAATTTAAAACTGGAGAAATTAAGAAATCGGAGCACCCTTAGAATTTTTCTATTGTCCAATCGACGAAGAGAACCGGTAAGAGCGTGTCCATTTCGTGGAAAATTGTAACGAGACCGTGGAAAATGATTTGTTACCAAAGAGTCGAGAGAGATTGAACGGCCATCGAATTTTTTATTCCATCCAATCAACGGAGAGGGTTTGAAAGAAAATACACGTTTGTTGGAAAAATTGTATCGAGACCCTGAAAAATGATCTAGTATTAAAGAACGGAGTGGATTGAATCACATCTAGAATTTTTATTATATCCAATCACGGAAAAAGATTGACCATCAAATATTCATTCGATGAAATTTTATCGAGACCGTGAAGAACCATTTAAAATTGGAGACTTATGCGATCGAACTACCCTTAAAATTTTTCTGTCGTTCGATCGACGAAGATTTCGATTTCGAACAAATTCTAGCTAGTTTTGAGGAGAGTAATGCAATACTGAGGAACAGATCGAGTCGACGAATAAACCGTCGAAAATATTTGCAAATAATATATAAAAGTAAATTTAATATATTTAATCATTTCTATTTAAACAACCCTAAGATCCTCATTTCGAAATTGATCGTATTGCGATACTAAAGGAAATCTGCATTCATCCGGAAGATTATTTCAAACAATATTTTGCAGAATATATTTTAAAGAATACGTTAAAGAATATTTTATAGAATACGTTAAACAAGATGTTAAAGAATATTTTAAGAAATACCCTCCAAAGATTAAATCGCCCAGCAGAGGCAGCATCGTCGATCCAGGGTAAAACTGTTGCAGCTATTAAAAAACTTTCTCATCTATCCTATACCAATGAATCGCAGGCTATTAAAAACTGTGAAACAAGCGCCGGTAAGCAATAAATTAATAAGACTGCCGTAGAGAAAAAGAAAGAAAGAAAGAGAGAGAGAGAGAGAGAGAGAGAGAGAGAAAGAGAGAGGGAGAGAATAAAGCAGGATATTAATACGTAAAACTTCCTGAGATCCTCTTAGAAATAATAATTATGTTCCGGAGGGGGGGAAATAGGTCGTAGCTCGCATTTAAATGAATAATTACAATCACGAACAACAAAGCTTGGCGGAAATAAAAGCAAGTCGAACTCCTTCATTATTTATCGCGTCTAAACTTGAACTTACGCAGCAACGACGATCTTTTTATAATCGCCCGCAAGAAACGACCTCGTTTACAAAGCCTCCGCAAGGTCGTTCCATCGGTTTCAAAATGGCGGCTAGGTTTATTCATACGCGCGGCGTTGTTTCGCGATATCGTCGCGCCGCGTGTCCCCGCTAAACTTTTCAATTAAAATCGCCCCGTTACACTTGTACGATCGCGACCTGTACAGGGGTAAACGCGTTTAATTATACTAAAACATGTAAATTCGTCTGTTATGCATAAGCGTTACGCTATGCAGGGACGACGCGAGCTGCGTGTAACCCGGGTCCACGGGCAGCCTGAATAATTTTGTCATCCGCGTCGGATGCAAACGAAATAAACGGATACCGTCGCAAAAACGACGGAGTATGGAGTTCGTATAGAAAAACGGAGGAAAAAACGTGAAGGGAAAACTGTTTCTCCCCGGCGGAAACTGTCGCACAATGCTTCCCGGAGACGGCTGCCGCTCCCCAGCCCCATAAACAAAGGCTGCCCGAAGAAATTCGGTGAGCTACGTAATTTCGCCCGGGCCAATCTGTAACCTAGGACTTTCCGTGGAAGATTTTCTCTCGTGCGTTTTAAGGCGCGACATTATTCGTTATTTGCCACATTCCCGAATAGTTTGCTAATTAAATTTCGAACGCTTGTCGCTCAGCCCGTCAGAATTTTTCAACGTTTCGTTTCGATCGTGAGCGTACATTATATAATTACGTGATATCATGCTTCAGTTAACAACAATTCTAATCATTATATATATTATTATATCGATTATAGTCATTTTTTAGAAGAGACAGGAAATTGGTGTTCGTTTCATGTCAATATTTATGGTTCGTTATTATTATTATTGTTGTTATTTATCCATTAATTAAACGGGCTAAATACCCTGTGAATTACAGAGCATAATGCGTACCATGATCTAGTTTTTTTAGAAATAGTATTTAGTGGAATGATATTAAATATTGATGGTAATACAATTTTAATCGAACCTAAAAGAGCGGAATAAAAATCATACCTGATATAGGTTACTATTTAAAGGCACCATTACGCGTTAGATTCGTCAAAGTTAACCCTTTGCACTCGAATGACGACCCAGAGGCACCACCAAAAAATTCTTATATCACTTTTCAAAATATTTTTTACAATATCAAATTTGTTTGCATTGAAATATCTGTTAAATATGTGACCGTTGCACGAGTCTGCAAAAGGCACTAAATCGTACAAAATCGAAATACTGTGAGGAAAACCATTTCGGATTTACAGTTAAACGGCTTCGGGCGCAAAGGGTTGATAAGTGAACACGTTCGACTAATTGAAAATGAACGCGGCATGGTCCAAGAAGTTGGCAGAATTCTCTGAAAATCGAGATCCTGGATGAAGAATAGTCCGCACCTGTTCCCAACGGAATTCCGGAGAGACTGTTTCATGGCGATCGAATATTTTCCTCGCGCGCCTTTAAGAACCGGCCTTGACCCGGCCGGGTCTTGCTCGGAAAAAAAGAAAAAAACCCGCCCGGATTCCACGGTGTCGCGCCCCCGGCAACGATTTCTCACGTTGTCGCTCAATTATACGACCTATTACCCTGCGATCAACTCTCGCGCGCAACCCCTCGTGACCCTCGTTTCGCCAATTACACGAAATCCATTCCGGGTAACGGTTTGCCCTCTCCTCGCGATCCTCGGTCGGTTTCAACCCTCAATTATTTCCGGCGAGAGCCGTCGAACGCATCGAGAAGCGACGAAAAAAAAAAGGAAGAGAGAAATAGAGACTCCTCGTAGCCTTGACCCGGCCGGGTTTCCATCAGTCTCTCTCACCTGAGGATTCACCCGGTCGCAAAATCCTCTTACACCCTCCGAGCATCCTTCTTCTCGCCCCTTAAACGTTTCGACAATGAAGCCGAAAAATAGGGATCGAGAGAGATTTACACGTCCGCGGCGCATCCGGCGGAGTGCGTTCTGCTCTGCTGTTTTCGACGCAGTCGGTGCACGAAGAACTTTTGTTTCAATCACGGGATATACTTGTTCGCTCGTATTTTCTAATTATCGAATTTTATATAAATTGGACTTCTTAATTTTGACAATTTCGATTCGAAATAGCTGATAGGTCACTGTGAAATAAATGCATTGCTGTGTTCGATGCATTCGGTGCACGAAGAACTTTTGTTTTAATCACAGGATATATTTGTTCGTTCGTATTTTCTAATTATCGAAATTTATATAAATTGGACTTCTTAATTTTGACAATTTTGATTTGGAATAACTGATAGGTCACTGTGAAATAAATGCATTTCGCAGCATAAGCCACTGTATAACGCGTGGAGTGCATTCTGCTTTGCTGTTTTCGACGCAGTCGGTGCATGAAGAACTTTTGTTTCAATCACGGGATATACTTGTTCGCTCGTATTTTCTAATTATCGAATTTTATATAAATTGGACTTCTTAATTTTGACAATTTCGATTCGAAATAGCTGATAGGTCACTGTGAAATAAATGCATTGCTGTGTTCGATGCATTCGGTGCACGAAGAACTTTTGTTTTAATCACAGGATATATTTGTTCGTTCGTATTTTCTAATTATCGAAATTTATATAAATTGGACTTCTTAATTTTGACAATTTTGATTTGGAATAGCTGATAGGTCACTGTGAAATAAATGCACTTCTCAGGATAAGTCATTGTGTAACGCGTGGAGTGCATTCTGCTCTGCTATTTTCGATGCATTCGGTGCATGAAGAACTTTTGTTTCAATCGCGGAATATACTTATTCGCTCGTATTTTCTAATTATCGAATTTTATATAAATTGGACTTCTTAATTTTGACAATTTTGATTCGAAATAACTGATAGGTCACTGTGAAATAAATGCATTTCGCAGCATAAGCCACTGTATAACGCGTGGAGTGCATTCTGCTTTGCTGTGTTCGATGCATTCGGTGCATGAAGAACTTTTGTTTCAATCGCGGGATATACTTATTCGCTCGTATTTTCTAATTATCGAATTTTATATAAATTGGACTTCTTAATTTTGATAATTTTGATTCGAAATAGCTGATAGGTCACTGTGAAATAAATGCATTTCGCAGGATAAGTCATTGTGCAACGCGTGGAGTGCATTCTGCTCTGCTATTTTCGATGCAGTCGGTGCACGAAGAACTTCTGTTTCAATCGCGGGATGTACTTATTCGCTCGTATTTTCTAATTATCGAAATTTATATAAATTGGACTTCTTAATTTTGACAATTTTGATTCGAAATAACTGATAGGTCACTGTGAAATAAATGCATTTCGCAGCATAAGCCACTGTATAACGCGTGGAATGCATTTTGCTTTGCTGTGTTCGATGCATTCGGTGCATGAAGAACTTTTGTTTCAATCGCGGGATGTACTTATTCGCTCGTATTTTCTAATTATCGAAATTTATATAAATTGGACTTCTTAATTTTGACAATTTCGATTCGAAATAGCTGATAGGTCACTGTGAAATAAATGCATTGCTGTGTTCGATGCATTCGGTGCACGAAGAACTTTTGTTTTAATCACAAGATATATTTGTTCGTTCGTATTTTCTAATTATCGAATTTTATATAAATTGGACTCCTTAATTTTGACAATTTTGATTCGAAATAGCTGATAGGTCACTGTGAAATAAATGCACTTCGCAGAGCGTAAGGGGAAAGAATGAAGATTGCACGATGCCTAGAAACAAAAATCGTGTGATTTGTCATTCGCAGCAACAATTTGCAAGAAAAAGTACGTTTGAATTCTTGCGTGAGAAGATTAAATGATCAGATTGCGATCGTTGGATCGCATGCAAGATTGCACGTCGTGCACTCGTCCGCATGTTTACCCATAATAATAGATAAATAAATTCGATTCGATTAAAATTGATCCGTGAACTCAGAACGAAAACGAAAGCAAAAGACGGAGGTATAATACCACAGCAAATAGATCCACAAGCGAAGATTGAAGATTGAGTGGGTTGGAATCACAGTGCGGCAAGTGAGATTTCCGAAAATGTTGATTTACGTCTTAAAATGTAATCTGTACGTGCCAAGATGATAAAAAGACGAGCGAGATAAACAATAAACTTACTATAAAACGACGAAGTTACAAAGACGAGTGAAATAAATTACACGATTACCATAAATATTAAAAACACGAGCGAAATACGTGCCAAAGTAGCGACAAATTAACTTCGCTGCGAACGATCTCAAAAATCAATTCACACGATAGCACACAATATAACACTCCCTGCCTCCCGCTATGAGAAAAATCTGGCTCGCGACACTGTGATTCCTACCCACTCGATCGAAACCGATCACTTCCACACAGAGCACACTCTGCCGAACGTTTCTCGGCGAAGTGCCGGAACAGCTGACCTAAACGAGCTGATCGAAAAGGCCCCGAAAAAGTGACTATTAAACGAACCGGCTAGTATTCCAGCCAGTGACACGATAACGGGCTAACGCAGAGCCGGGAAAGTGTCGCGAGACGATAGCGGCGCGAGTCGATCCTCTTCGATCAGCGGCAGAGGAACGACCCTGACCGGCGTTCAGATTGCCGTTGCTCGGCTTTAATCTCGCGAAGGGCCTGAATCCCCGAGGGAAGGTCTCGATCGTGTGTTCGCGGAGCCACGCGAGGCTGCTCCTCGCGTTCTACGTCGCGAGAATGGCCTCGCGAGCACAGGTGGTTGCAGGCTCTCTCCCTCTTCGGAAGAACGGTGGAGAGACCGAGAGAGGACCGCCTCGAGATCGTTCTGGGATTGTTAGACGAGGATCACTGACCGGGTCTCCACTGGTCACACACGATCACAAGGCTGGATCACGAGGAGGATCGACGGGTTTCGCGTCGACGGATACATCGCGGTGCGGCTCGCAACGCGAGGCTCTGAGCTCGATCGACTGGCCGGGACGAGAGCCGTCGCGCGACTGAAACCGCTCTCTGCCCACAGCATCCCGATCCTTTCAACCCCGTTCATCCCCTACGCTGCTTTTGCCCACCGCCGCCTGCCGCGGCCCTCTCTCTTTCAGCCTCTTCCGCCCAGCACACGTGATTCCCTCTTATTTCACTCCCGGACCAGCTGTCGAGTGCGTTCAACGCTCGTTCGGATTACCGGAACGCCGGATCGCTTGTTTGGTTTGATCTCGTTTGGTTCCGGCCTGTCTTGGCCCCCCGTTTCGATGGTGTCCGCGGCGATCGAGGCCCCCGCCGCGCGATTCGTTCGTTCGCACCGATCTCCCGCGGTTCCGCGCTGATCTTGTTTAATCTGGTTTGTTTGATCTTGCTCGAGCGGCCGTTCCGTTTGATTTCGGCTGACCCGGTCGAAACGGCCTCGGTCCCGTTTCATTCGCATAATTTCACGGCGTTCGACGACCGATTCGACGCGACCTGCTCTTGTTTGAAGTCGCTTAATCTGGCACGAGCTGGCTTAATCTGGCTCGCTCGGGCTTAATCTCGTTCGAACGGGTTTCATTTCACTAATATGGTTTAGTATGGTTTGACGTGTTTTATATTATTTGTTTCGCGGCCTGATTCGCCGAGATATCTATGTCGAGTTCATTCGTTTCGCTGGATTTCGTTTAATCTACAATTATAATATTATAATATATAATATATAATATATAATATACAATGTATAATATATAATATATAATATATAATATATAATATATAATATATAATATATAATATTATAATATTATAATAAGAAATATTTCTTCCTTTTTCGCGAGTATTATTGTAACACTTGCGGTAAGTATAACATATACATCGAATAAATAACTCGCAAATGTATCTTTACGATATGAATAATCGTGAATTAAAATATTAGTGACCTGTCATTTTGACAGGTTCCGTAAATCTAGTGTTAAACAGAAAAGCAAACTCTGCTAAACTAGACGAAATCGAACTAAGACAGAGATACAGAAATTTCTCCCTAATTCGCGCTCAGATCGCGCACGGAAATGGACTATTTGGGAAGAGAAGTTGCGATCGTTCGAGCCTCGGGGCCACGTTTTTATGGTTGCTGGCACGTCGACTATGAAAACGAGTCGAAAGGCTCGATTAATTGTGCTTCTCTTCCCAAGTCTGTCCATTTTTGTGCGGAATCTGAGCGCGAATTAGAGAGAAATTTCTGTATTTTTGTTTGTCTTAGTTCGATTTCGTCTAGTTTGACAGAGTTTGCTTTTTTGTTTAACGCTAGATTTACGGAACATGTCAAAATGACAGGTCACTAATATTTTAATTTACGATTATTCATATCGTAAAGATACATTTGTGAGTTATTTATTCGATGTATATGTTATACTTACGGCAAATGTTACAATAATACTTGTTAAAGATCAGAATAAATGTCTTATTGTTACTTTTATAAACTAATATAAAACAGCTGTTTTTTGTGCTCCGTAAATCTAGCGTTAATCTAGTGTAATCTGGATCAATTTCGTTCAGTCTAACAGCTTTGATATAGGATTCAATTTGACCTATTTTGAATTTTACCCAAATCGATTTGTCTTCATCTGACTGGTATGATTTGTTCTGGTTTGATTGATTGATTTATTTCTCGAATTTATTTGCTTATCGAATATATACGGGAAGTTATCCATTAGTTATAATAAAAGTTATAATAAAAAAACACAAAGACAAATATAGGCTACTGTTTTGTCTTAATCTGACTGGTATGGTCTGTTCCGGTTTGATTGATTGATTTATTTCTCGAATTTATTTGCTTATTGAATATATATGGGAAGTTATCCATTAGTTATAATAAAAGTTATAATAAAAAAACACAAAGACAAATATAGGCTACTGTTTTGTCTTAATCTGACTGGTATGGTCTGTTCCGGTTTGATTGATTGATTTATTTCTCGAATTTATTTGCTTATTGAATATATATGGGAAGTTATCCATTAGTTATAATAAAAGTTATAATAAAAAAACACAAAGACAAATATAGGCTACTGTTTTGTCTTAATCTGACTGGTATGGTCTGTTCCGGTTTGATTGATTGATTTATTTCTCGAATTTATTTGCTTATCGAATATATACGGGAAGTTATCCATTAGTCGTAAAATTATAAATAAAAAGAACACAAAGACAAATATATGCTACTGTTTTGTCTTGATCTGACTGGTATAGTTTGTTTTCGTTTGATTGATTGATTTATTTCTTGAATTTATTTGCTTATCGAATATGTATGGGAAGTTATCCATTAGTCGTAAAATTATAAATAAAAAGAACACAAAGACAAATATATGCTACTGTTTTGTCTTGATCTGACTGGTATAGTTTGTTTTCGTTTGATTGATTGATTTATTTCTTGAATTTATTTGCTTATCGAATATGTATGGGAAGTTATCCATTAGTCGTAAAATTATAAATAAAAAGAACACAAAGACAAATATAGGCTACTGTTTTGTCTTGATCTGACTGGTATAGTTTGTTCTGGTTTGATTGACTGATTTATTTCTTGAATCTATTTGCTTATTAAATATGTACAAGAAGTTATCCATCAGTTAAAAAATTGTAAAAAAAATTCCAAAAACAGATACAGGGGTTAGGCTACTGTTTCGTCCAGTTTGATCACCCACGATCCGAGTCGATTCAATTCGTCCGGCTCGGATCTGCATTCGAATGAACGAATCTCGTTCAATCTGATTCTATTTATCTTAGCTCGCTTTCGTCCAGTTTGGCACAGTTTGCTTCGCATTTAATCTAATGTAATCTGGATCAATTCCGTTCGGTCTAGCGGCTCTGATATATGATTTAGTTTGACCCGTTTTGATTTTATCTAGTCGAAATCGATTTGTCTTCGTTCAGTTTCGTCTAGTCTGACATAATTTTCACTGTTCCGGCTTTAATCCTGCCCAAATTCGACCGCCCCTCGAAACAGCCTCGCGATACCCTAACACAATATCCAGCATCAAGTAACGGAACAACTTGACTCGTTAGAACATGAATAGCAAAGTTACTCGGTTTCTGCTGTGCCACCCGGTGTACAGGGTGGTTCACTAAAATGCTGTTACAAAGCAATATCTCCGTTATCGTTAACGATACTAAAAACTGCTAAAGGAACAAGTTGTATGGTTCGAAGGGAGACATGTTTCAGTCGAAATCATTTCTTTTCAGAGGTCATATTTTTCGAGATTTCAAGGTCATCGATGCTTTTTTAAACGAAAACGTATATTTCTATCACTGTATCGTGATAGCTAAGCTCAAGACGAATCCAACGACCTATAGCAATATGACCTTCGCGTGACCTTAAACCGGTCGAGCATCGCACTAATCGTCGCAATTTGAATTGTCGCGCCGAAATTGGCTGCGACTTAAAAAATGTGCAGAAGCCAACGGTAATAATTTTGAACATCTACTCGAAATAAATTTGTTTCATTGTAGATCTCTCTGTTATAGTTATTTCAGCATTCGCGTTCATTCCTAAATATTTTAGGCTTAATTTATTCGTACTCAAGGTCACGCGGAGATCATGCTATCACAGGTCATTGGATTCGTTTCGATCTTAGCCGTCACGATACAACGATAGAAATACCTAATCCCATTTAAAAAACCATCGACGACCTTGAAATCTCCGAAAATATGACCTTCGAGAAAAAAACTATTTCCACCGCAATACGTGTCCCTTCGAACCGTGCAATCTGTTCCTCTAGCATTTTCGAGTATCATTAAAGATAACGGAAACATTGCTTTGCGAAGCACCCTGTGCAGCACCGAATTGATTTCGTTCGCTTCACGCCGCTGCGCTGGAAACAATAACACGCCGGTGCAGATAAAATCGTTTCGGCCGCCCTCATAATATTGACGGCTCTTGCGGAATTGATTTCCCTGCGAAATTTATTTATCTATCAAAGAAAGCGTCAACAACGGGCCGATGAAATGTTGATTCGACCAAGTGTTCCCGCATCTGCGTGCGCCACGAGTGCGTACCCCCCTACCCTCCCACCGGTACGCGGCGGGCTCTTCGTGAATTACAGTTTGAAATTTGTCCAGGGCAGAGGTTTTTGTCCCTGAAGAGGGTTTAATTGGTCCTTGGCGTGCCGGTGCCGGAGCGTGTTTGGAAAACGGAGACGAGGATCGCGAGGGGTTTCTAGGTGGCCGCCGGGTTCGCCTGGTGTTTGAGGGTCGTCGTTGCCGAGCAGGGGATGAAGAGTATCTCCGCGTGTGCCGATGGTTTTGTTTCGTCTGGATAAATCTCTCGTTCTTCTCGTGCACCGAGAAATCAGGCTCGCCGAGGACACGTGGAAATGCGGACGACGTGTTCACCGTTCGCCGTATCACGTTCCAATATTTTATAGGACACCTCGAATCGTCGATGACACAATTGCGACAAAATAGACGTTCTTTGCTGACAATGTTTGAAATACGATAAAATACGATAAGATAGGATTTAGTGGGATTCAAGGGCTCTAAGTATCACGCTGTGCGTTAGAATTTTCAATAATTATGTTCACACAGAATTCATTTGATGTTCTCTTTGAATCTCTTAAGCGAAATTAATTTTCAAATATACGAATGTTATTCGTTTTCTTTTTTAACCGATACAGATTTTCGTGAAGGGAGAATCAAGATTTGTTTCGATTTTGATGAAAAGATGATCAAAGTTTGTTTCGAGTTCGTTAAGAGAAGAATCAAAGACTGAAAGTAAAAATGAAGACGAGCACGAAACACGAGGATTGTCTCGTTCTATCAGCGCTTATTGTAGCTTATTGTAGCTTATTGTTATTATAAATTATTACTAAACCTACCAAACAATGATAGAGCAGAT